AGAGACTTTCAGCCATCCCAGCATCCCGACTTGACTAATATCAATGATGCCGAGAATTAGCCTCTCCAAGGACAGAGCTAACGTCACACCACAGGTGGAAATGGAATTAAATAAAATAGTAACATGAACGTACGAGAAATCTTACCTGGTAAGCATACAAAGCCGAGCACAACGAACTATACCTACCGACCAAAGGGAAACAAAAAAAAACGCTGGATAACGCAGGATACCAATCTAAAAGAAATCACCCGGACTAGCCGGAGAGCAAGCCCGACGAGCGGGTGCGGCATAATGCAAATAACGAACACAACACGGACATTGCTAGCAAGGACGACAAAAAGGACTACCCCCACCATTTACACTGTGCCAAGGACACACACAACAGAGAATAAGCACTTCACGGACAGACAAAAGGACTAATGGTGAGGGGACAAACGCACGTACAAGGAGACGAACAAATCACGAAAATTAAATATGCTGATGCACAGATACACACCTCGGCAAGCAGCCGCACGGGGAGGGGACAATAGCCCGAGATCGAGCAAACGAACCCACTCCAAAGGCGTTCCCCAACCCCGAACAAGTCTCAAACAATGTGACGAGCAGTTTGGAGAATGATGTGGGGAGGTGTCCGAATATAGCGCAAGTAGCAATCACTGGACCAACGACCCAAAATCTTGATAACATGGTCCGGAACATCCGCCAGAGCGGCCGAAGTAGCCGCACCAATACGAAAAACTGTGGCGAGAATAATTCCCAGGAACACCTGCAGCCTTGAGAATGAAGCGGAGCCAAGCATTAACCAGAGACGGCGACAGAGGCGCACCAGTGATGCACAAAAACAAAGAACCAGGGAAGGAACCGCGGATGGCCAAATACCGAGACAGCGCAGCAACAGGACAAATCTGGTGACGCGAAGGCTCAATTAAGATCGTGCATCCCTGGTGAAAAGGATCCGTTTTGGACGGCTTTAAAAACAGGCGATAGTTTCCGGCAGCATCCCACTGAATGTCGCTTAAAGACAAATGGCATGACGGGACGTATACACCGGGACAGGTAAACTCGCTAACACGTAGAAAACCGAAAAAAGCGGTGCAACACGCAGCCCAAAACATCACATGGTCAAACCCCGGAGCGGAGAGCGCCGACTGGAGTACACCCATCAGTCGATTGGTAACAGGGAGACGTGACAATCAATGCAGGCGAAGAACGAGAGCGGCGGATGCCGCGTAACAATCTGGCCAATCTGGTCGCCCCGCGGGTGGGATCTGGTGCGCCAAGGTCAATGTGCCAAGAACGGACAGCAGCAATATACGACGAGACAGAAGACGGAGCTAAATTCCGAGTCTGAGCGAGCCAGGTCGCAAATAACATCAACAGCCATTCCGACGACGGAAAAGACGGAAGGTCAAAAGTCGAACAAAACAGGAAATAGGCGCGTTGACCAGCAGCGTAGACACGGCGAGTGGATGGAGCCAAACATTGGGCCAACAAATCAAAACACAGGTTGATCAAGCAGGCGGTACCAGGCGCGACAACAGCGACGGTGGGATTGGAAGGGGAAGAAGATCGGAATGAGGGGCCACACGACGAAACTCCTGTAAGCGCAAACGAGACAAGACATCAGCGGCAGAATTATCTCTGCTAGGGGTGTGGGCAGCCAAGAAAACAAAATTATGGCGGCAGTATTCAAGCGTGAGCAAGCGCAACAGATGCATGATGTCGTGCGACTTGGACGTGCCAGAATTGAGGACATTAACAATCGCCAGATTGCCGCACAAAAACTGAACGCGAAGGCGAGACCACGCATGGCCCCAAAGATGCGCCGCGACGACGATGGGAACCAACTCCAGAAAGGCAATGGACATGCGCGTAGACAGAAAAAAACCAGGAGCTGCAAAACCACTGCGCCATGGGCTCCAAAACCGCAGGAACCTGACGCATCGGATGAAACAACTAGATCAGGTAACTGGGACACCGCGGGCGAAGAAAAAAGGACACTCCGTTCCACTCTAGGAAAAAAGACAGCCACCATTGTAGGTCTCTACGAAACTCAACATTCAAGCGAATGGGATGGTCGCGATGACGAAAACAGCATAATAGATCGATCATGCGGCGAAGAAAGGTACGACCAGGGACCACAACTCGTCAGGCATGATGAAGGAAGCCAATCAAGGACTCCAGGTCACGACGCGTACACGTTTTCTTACGAGACCACGACTGGAGAAGCCGCAGGATGCGATCGACCTTGTCACGGGGCAAACGAGCTAACTGCTGTACGGAACCCAACTCGATACCGAGAAACACCAAAACAGTGGACGGGCCCTCGCACTTTTGCAAATGCAAAGGGAGACCCAAGCGGGCAAACACGGTAAAAACGTTATCCATATGGGATTGACAAATGGACGAATTGATGGTTAAGAAATCGTCCAAATAATGGAACAGCGGGCTGACAGCATAATTATGCACCAAGATCCATTCCACGGCCTCAGCAACCGAATTGAAGATAAACGGGGCCGACCTGCAAACCAAATGGCAACACGAGATCAACGTAGAAACGATCACGCCATTTCATACCTAAGAGGTAACGATCATCAGGGTGTATCGGGATATTACGGTAAGCTGCTTTGACGTCGAACTTTGCCATCAGCGTCCCGGGGCCGAGATCGACCAAAGCACGAATGGCGTCGTCAACCTTCACATAATGCAACGAGTAAGGATCCTTGGGGATACCGTCATTGACACTGTGACCAGCCGGCGAGGACAGATCTAGGATAAGGCGCCACTTGCCAAGCTGGTGATTCTTGGGGATGACACCAAAGGGGCTGACATGAAGGAGCGGAACCGGAAGGTTGGTAAACGGGCCTGCCACGCGTCTGGCCGCTAACTCTGAGGACAGGTAAGCATCCACGACGTCTGGATGGTCAGAGGCAGAGCGCATATTAGACGTCCGAGAACGCAAAGATACCCGATCAGGCTCCCAACCTACACGAAAGCCCAGCCGAATCCCGTCTAAGACATAGCGCCTTTTGGACAGGGGATAGGCAGCTAATTCCCGAGTAAACTCCTCGAGGACTAGCGGGGTTACGGCAGCAACCGGAGTATTGAGGCCAAGCGTTGGACGAGCTAAAACAAAGAAACAATAAAACGCTAGGGGGACCAGTACCGCACAGAAGAAAAAAAATAAATAAATAACACCGACACACATTTGAGCTAAGTAATGACATTTTGACAATCTATACACGCATGCAACGATATACCGTACCAAGCAGGTACACTATAAGCTAACAAGGACAGGACACACATAGTGCCTCGTGCAACAAGCAGTGTCTATCAGGTAAACGATGCTAGCACAAGATAAACTGTACCAAGCAGGTACGTACACGATAAGCTAACAAGGGCAGGGCACAAGCAGTGCCCTGTGCAACCACAGTGCCTGTAGAAGTTAAACAATGCAAGCAAAACAAAACAAAAAATCGTACCAAGCAGGTACGTACATGATAAAGCTAACAATGGCAGGACCAATACTGTACCAAGCAGGTACACTATAAGCTAACAAGGGGAGGACACAAGCAGTGCTTCGTGCAACACGCCGTGCCTATCAGGTAAACGATGCTAGCACAAGATAAACTGTACCAAGCAGGTACGTACATGATAACGCTAACAATGGCAGGGCACAAGCAGTGCCCTGCGCAACAAACAGTGCCTTTACCAGGTAAACAATGCTAGCAAAAACAACTATATAATATCGGACCAAGCAGGTACGTACACGATAACGCTCAGGCTAACAAAGGCAGGGTGTGAAAATTGTATAATTCGACATGCATCCCGGACCAGTCAACTACATGGCGTGCTGCGGCGTCACGGCGAAAAGCTTCGTCGTAAATGTACCGAGCTAAGCCGCCGAACTGAGTATACATACGTAAAATGAGAAGCTGGTAACGAATCAAGTCAGCAGCGCGGCTGGGCAAATATGCAACCATAATAAGCATGTATAGGGCAAACGTCTGCAGCCACTGAGAAATATCGGTCAGGCGCCGGGCCGGCTTGGAAGCTTGAGAGACCACTACCTGTCCATCAATGTAAATTAAGGGCGAAAGAGACCGCATGTCAGACGGTTTTGGTAACAGTGTGGCCAAGTCAATATATTGACCAGAAATAATGTTCGTCACCGTCTTACCAGGGACCGGGAGAAACCCAGGGCCAACAACGAAAGCAGCAGGTTGCGTATGAGCCAAAGGCAAAAAACATACCTGGTGCAGCCAAACCTGCAGCTGGCGGAGTATGTGGCAGCTGTTGAAGCGACAGCTGTGCACCAGACGACAAAACCGGGCCAGCAGGAAGCCTTGAAGTAGATGCCAACTCTTGACCACGGGCGTGCACTTGAGCGACAGCATTCGAATGTGCCTGAGCATGAGCTTGCAGCAAAGCTTGTGCCTGGAGGGTAGCTTGTGCCTGGAGGGTAGCCTGTGCCTGGACTTGAGATTGGGAAATCGCCTCCTGGAGGATGGGATCCGGGAAATGGACGCCTGCTGGAGGATGGGATCCAGGGAAGTGGGGAAGTGGACGCTTGCTGGAGGATGGAATGTTGGGAAGTAGACGCCTGCTGGAGGATGGGATTTAAGGACGGAGCAGGACGGGCGCCACCGGTGGAGACTGGGAGGGAACAAAATGGCGGCTGAAAATTGGCCGATGTCGAAGAACAAGGGAACGTAAAATCCGACAAAACGCCCGGATTTATTGGTGGGAACGACACTAGACGTAGGCCAAGGATTCTGTGGCAGGTACGGGACGGGAAGCCATGTACGAGACGCTAAACTTAGTGAAGCAAACGGCACGGAAGCAGACCACGAAGTCGTCCCAAGACTTGTAACCACCGGCGATGGCAAAGCACTGGAGGCCGACGACACTGAAGGCAGCACAACAGGGAGAAGCGACGAAGTTGGCGAAGTTAAACCCGACAATGACGAAACCAAACCCGTCGATGCAATTGATGTAGAAGCCGACGAAATAATATCACTATGGACTGGCGAAAGCGATAAATCCGTTCCAGAACAACTGGACAGACTATTATTAGTGAGCCGAGGCATCCAAGATAGAAGCCAAAACCCAAACGAAGCACAAGAATCCCAGAAAAACAAAAATAGAAAACCAAAATCGAGTTCACAATGTGAGAAGCAGTATACAAGTGAGCACAGCCCGTGAACACAGCAAATGGCAAACTCCCGCCCGCTGACAACAGACTGCTTCTGATTGGTCAATGAAATTGAACCCTGCATAAATGCATAATTTACATATTATAACGACCCACATCACACCTCGTGCTAGAAGTTAACTATTTTTATTGCATAAACACAAATAATACGACCAAAGTTTGTAACATTGATCTCTCTGTAGACTTGTTCAAGGTTTAGTGATCATTGTATTTATATGAAACGATAAAGTTTGCTTATCAATATCAATTTCATTTCGTTTCAACAAATCAAAAATTATATCTATGTTATCCATTGACTGTACTTGGATCAAATGTTTGGAAAATTTTGTATCTACGTTATGCCAACATTAATCCCTCTATTGTATCACACACGTGGAGGGACGCTAAAAAATGCCTAGTCAGCAAGTTTTGCCCGATCTTGTCCAAGCTTGCGCGCGTGATGTCTGCATATATTAAGTGAACAAACCCCACATGAGATCCTCCACTTCACGCCACCTCATTCTATGCTAATGCCCACCTCATTCTATGCTAATGATAATGATAATGCGCCACCTCATTCTATGCTAATGATGATGCGCCACCACCACACTCCACCACCACACGCCACCACAAAAATAAGGGTCGAAAACCACCTACATTACTACTCATGCTGTCAAAACTGGCCGTCGTGGGTGTGGCAACCTATTTTCGCGAACGTGGTAAAAAACCATGGCGATTGAAATCATTTGTCAACTGCTCATACTTCAAAGTCTTTTCGAGAGAATCGAAACGTGTATGCAATAGATGAAGTAGACAGCAGCTCACAACTCTTGAGGTATTCAAGAACTATCACAAAGCTTGCGACTTGCAGCATGTTTAACGACAGCATTTTCTTAGGCCGTCCGTGCATGACCGTCTATTAAGAAGTGGCCGTTTAAATTCAAAAGTGTTGTCTGAATTCAAGACTGGATGGATGTCCGTCGTAGGACGGTTGGACGGCTGCCTGGCTAAATGCCTGGCCACACCCTAGATATTTGTTTTAAATTTTACGAAATATACTGTAATATTGGAAAAGAATCTGATTCCATTCTGTTGGGTATTACGGAACATGCTTTTCTTTGCTACTCGATCTCTTCATATAATGCCTAATATTTATAACATCTTTATAGATCTTGTACAAAAACTTGAAGAGGAATGTAAGATAAATAGCTACTTGTGCCAAGAGAAAATTCCAAAGGTATTCTGTAAATTACCTTTATTTTGTTCTCGTAACCAATAGCAACAACATATATTTATTATTATACAGGGTGTCCCCAAAAAAGTGACACTATATAGAAATTATCCTATTGTTGTTAAGCATAGGATTTCATGCGCCTGGTAATTAAAAATTCAATTGTGTTTACGCACTCTTGTGTTCAGCATATAGATAGATAGATAGATAGATTTAATAAAATACTTCGCAGCCATAGGCTGAATTGCGTATTTTTTTACAAGTAAATTTAACTAATTACGAGAATATAAAAGAAGAGTTTATCAAGCCATTATGATGACATTCCATATAAATATTATATATACAAGATGTTTATTACTTTAATATACTAAAAAATTTAAAATTACTAAAAATATTAGGTCATTTCAATAGCATTAGATAAATGATTTGCGGCACGAAGCCACAAAAAAACTAGTTTGAAAACGATTAGTGTTACATCTAGGAATTTCAAATTTCCTATCGTTTCTTAAATCATAAAAAGAAGTATGTCTAGTACAAATATTTTCATGATGAACAGACAGTGACTCCAATCCACAACTAATTAAAGCGTCTTCGTAATTAGTGTTTGGACAGATGATTCTAATAGCTCTTTTTTGTAATCTTTCCAATTCGGAACGCAAGTATTTTGGCAACGAATAGTAAATGACAGGGATACCATAGTCGATAACAGATCGAATACATGTAACATAAAATAGAACCAGATCATTCCGAGGAATACTGGCCCGTTTGAGTTGGATCAGGTAATAGATTCGTTTGGATACTTTTTTAACTACCTCTTCGATATGTAGATTCCACGTCAGGTTATTATCGAATGACAAGCCCAGAAGTTTAACGGATTTTACGCTCAGGTTATAACATTCAGATTATAACAATATAGGATAACCATGAAATCTGCTGTGTTGGTATAATGTATTCAGGTGAATAAGATGTTTGTGTGATGTTACTCTGAGTGTATATCCACACCGGGCAGGCTTGAAAATTTATGCCTGGCCACGGCGGGATTCGAACCTACGACCTCTGGAATACTAGCCCAATACTCTTCGGTCGTAGGTTCGAATCCCGCCGTGGCCAGGCATATTTTTCAAGCCTGCCCGGTGTGGATATACACTCAGAGTAAACATCACACAAACATAATATAGGATAATTTCTTTTGTGTCACTTTTGGGGGGACACCCTGTACATTGTAGTCGCTGCATGCGTTTTGATTGATTAAAAAGCTTACAGCTAAATATAGCAATCGCGCAACCTACAAATAACACAGTTAAGCCTGATTCTCATTTATCGTAAACATCGGCGATGCCCATTGTCGGTGGTCATTGACGCATACAATCTTTTGTGCATTTTCTTCTTCGTTGCTCACAGACAATGGATCGTAGAACATCCCGATTAATGAGAACCAGGCTTTATGTGCTAGCAGATAACTGAGTTATACGTATGTTGAGCCCGAGGTTTGTAATTTTATAGCAAGCAGGAGCTTTAAACACATGAATAAAAACAAGAAAACAACAACATGAACGAACCTCGAGAAAACTCCGTTAATTGTGACCTCTCGGCTCCCTCTAAGGCAACAACGACGTTATCAAAACCCGCAAAACACACAGTTTCCCTCGGCCTCAGATAGAAAGTGTTCTCATATATACATGCAACATGCATGCAATGTGATGGTGTGGCTATTATATGAATCCCAGATTTTCATTGCAACTTAGTGTTAAAATCTGCTTCTCGTTCGAGTATACATATTTTACAGTACATGTAAATATATAAAGTCTAATTATTTGTTCAGGATATTGAAGCGAAGCAAAAAGCAGTTAGTGATATGCAGAGAGTTATTGATGAACCAGCTATGGGACAGTCTGACTTGGATCAATTGAATCACCAGGTTTGATTTTGTTTGATAAGATATAATACATCCATTAGGCGTAGTAAGTTTTACTAATATTACCATTTACCAACAATTCTTTCAAACCCTCGTTTATAGGCCGCTACTTGATATTTGAAGCTGATAGGTCGTGTGTCTGATGTGTCATCTATAATAACTTCTCCCTTTTAAATTGCTTTTTATATACTTGGGACATGCAGTTCCGAATATATTGTATGCTTGTACAATTTATTTCAAACTTCTTTCTTATACTATTGTGGGAGCACATATGGTCTGCCAGCTATATATATTAAACACGTTAAAGAGGCTGTTCATCGTATCACGAAAATTTCTCCTTGACCATAAAAGATTGTTTGAACTTTATACTGTTACTGGATTCAAACTAAGCCAATTCAAATTTGAAATGTCATTTTGGATATTTATCAAAGCCGTCATGCATGAGGATTTTTTCTAGGCCGTTTAAAGGGCACAGTTCAGCCTTTTGAACGGCGGATGGTTTCTAAGGCGCATTACAACCCTTTTAATTGAAAAAAACTGACTAGGAAAATCAATTAAACATAATATTAATTCAAGATCAGTGATTTCAATGTTTTTAACATTTTTAAACATTTTTAATGTTGAAATTACTGATCTTGAATTATGCTTTATTGATTTTCCTAGTTAGTTTTTTCAATTAAAAGGGTTGTAATGCTCCTTAAAAACCATCATTCAAAAGGCAGGGTGTTTTTAGAGTGTGGCAACCTTTTGGGTAAAATGTCACGACGACATAAAAATCGCTCAGGTGCCGGTGACACTGCAATAGATGGAATATTCCCTTATTACGTTTTCGTAGCGCTTTGCATTGTGGTTATAGTGGTATCACTGATAACGATAGCGGTCTCGATTGAAAATATTGAATGTTTTCGCGAATGTTTTGCTGTTGGCTATCGTGCGCCTGACCCTAGCTTTTTAAAAGTTCTTGCACGGGTCAGGACAAAAAATAAGCCATCTTGAATATCAGTGATACCACTATAACCACAATGCAAAGCGCTACGAAAACGTAATAAGGGGAATCATCTATTGTGCCTTCGTTAAATCTCTGATATCAACGTAAATGGTCGTACTCTTTATATCTGGTGATTGCAGTGTGTTTAGCATCAGCTTTATACTTGCACTTTTTAGATACGACAACTGTCGGATGAAATCAACAAGCTTATTGAGAAACGAATGGTTCGTAATGACCCAATTGACGACAAATTGTCGTTGTTTCGTCAACAGGTAATTTGAATAATTCTATGCCAGTGTTTAAATCTAGAGCTAATAGATATTTAACCATAAATTATGCGTCTGTACTCTGATTAACAATTCCCTATATAGCTAATCTGACATTTTATATAATTATTGAATTGCATTGAAAGCTTTATTTCTATAGGGTAGTCCAATCAGAAAAAACTACTGTGGTTATATATCAACTGAAGCCTTGCAAACCTATATACTAATTTACAATATACTAATTTACAAATCAATACTAATTTACAATATTAAACTGAAACAATTGTAGCTACTAAAACAATATTGCAATTTGGTTCTATATAGACATGTACTAAACAATTAAATAAATTTATAATAAACCACACAGCCATTAGAATGACTTCTGAGCTTGTTCTGTTCTAACCCGAGATAAATATAAATTTTAGGGAAGCCTCGCATATCGATTTTGTTCACCAGAAACGTCATATGTTCGTTGGGGTTGCAGCTGTGACGTTTCTCTGTAAAACATGAAAAAATTCGATAGTTTTTTCGAAATCTTTATAGAATCATCTTTGCAGAAAATTAAAAAAAACAAACTTGATACAAACACCATGTAGGCTATACACTCGTAATACCATACCTGTTTTATACATTTATATTATTACGCCTTCCTTGCATTGGAAACACTCAAATTTCAAGAAAAACGCGCTAAAATTGTCAATATTTCATGCAAAAAAAGTTGTTTTGAGAAACGTTGGAAATTTTTAAGTTCATATATTAATAAAATAATAATAATAATGGTTTATTATCAGTATTTCCATACAATGGCTCTTCACCTGATAAAACTACTACTACAATTCTAAGGAAATAGTGAGAAATTTGTAAACCTAGGCTCTATGATCTGCATGTGCATGATTTGATATCAGCTGGTAGAGAATTAAATAATGAAGCTGAACAATCTCGAAAGGTATTAGGAACTAGAGGTAAAACTTATGTGTGGCTTTAAGAATATGCCAGCCCCTTCGCTCTCGCATGGGTTTCGTCTCGCATAGTGTTTTCTCATATGTTTTTTATGAGAAATGTTTTCATATGTTTTTTATGAGAGATGTTTTCATATGTTTTTTATGAGAAATGTTTTCATATGTTTTTTATGAGAAATGTTTTCATATGTTTTTTATGAGAAATGTTTTCATGTTTTTTATGAGAAATGTTTTCATATGTTTTTTATGAGAAATGTTTTCATATGTTTTTTATGAGTACCCATAAAAAACATATGTCAGCAGACCGTAGAAAATATAGTAGAAAATTACCTTATGTGTACTATAACAGTTTTAGAACAAAATATCGATAACTATGTGTGACGGTTCTAAGGGGGGGGGGGTCTCCAGAGAGCGTCCATATGACGTTTCTCATGGACAAAATCGATATGTAAGGCTTCCCTTATTGTCACTCAACTATGTACATTTGTTCACTACTTTTAAAACTTCATTATCTCGACTACTTTGCAAAGACGGCCACTTTAGTATTACCATAGCTCTTTCACTTTAGGCATTTTCGTCACCATTCTATATATTACATTAAAACACTCATTAATAATTCATAAACCTTGTGGCAAATCATGTCAGCCATAATATGTCACGTGGAGTGACTTTATATCTGATAAAGCATGTGGCATTATATAATTGTTCATCCTAATTAGTATGATTATATAATGGTTCATCCTAATTAGTATTCTTTTGTGGTCGTATTTTAAGCTATTCAAAACACTCGTTGTCGTGTTTTATCAGACATAAAACTGATATCTGATAAAACACTCCTACTCATGTTTTAAATAGTACCTAATTACAGTATTTATTAGTATAGGTATTAGGATGGTTTCGAGTGCAATTTGGACAAAACATGCACGAGTGAGTTTTTCATAGACCTCAAAATATGTCTTTTAAGATGTTTTATCCAAATTGCACGAGAAACCATCCTATTACGTGTTAATAATATATATAAAATGTTCGAGACAACTTGTAGTTTTAGCTTATGTTTATATAACGAATTGTCCACTGGCAAAGTTTTTCTGCTTAGTTGTTATATCAAATTAGACAAGACTAACGGTTTGAAAATTTCACTCAACTATGTAAGTTTTGTTAGTCTTGTTTAAGGTCTATTTTAAAAAAACGATAAAAGCCATATTTTCCACCCGAACTCAACTTTTACCTCATGTACCGCGGCCGCCATGTTTGTTTTGTTTTTGAAGCAATCTGTGGCCGTTAGCTTGAGGACTGCTTTAAGCTGATTGGTTGATTTTAGATCAGTGAAATCAACCAATCACAGTCGAGTAACATTTTTACGTATATTATTAGAATAATACACATGTGATTGTTGAAAATTGGTCAAGCTGCCTCGGATTATTTCATGATAATCACATAATGCTTAATGACCGCCCGGTTTGTCAGTGTCACTGACGAAGAAATAACAAGTTAAAAGAAATGCAATTCCAGAAACTGATGCAACATATTTTGTTTGTGATGTTACTCTGAGTGTGCATCCACACGGGGCAAGCTGAACGTTAATTGCTTGGCCACGGTGCACTACATATAGTATTTTTTTGCACTACATATAGTATTTTCAGACAAAAGAAATTAACTTCACCTTAATTCTACAACGGAGATACTACTTGAAATAGTTTTACAACAAAATATGTTGCTATTTGTGTGTGTTGGTGTTATGTACTCAGGTGAATATGATGTTTGTGATGTTACTCTGAGTGTGCATCCACACCGGGCAAGCTGAAAAGTTAATTGCTTGGCCACGGTGGGAATCGAACCCGCGACCTTTGGGATACTAGTCCAATGCTCTGCCAACTGAGCTACGTGGTCAAGTCGGTTCGAGTTGATGATATTTCGGTTCCCACCGTGGCCAAGCAATTAACTTTTCAGCTTGCCCGGTGTGGATGCACACTCAGAGTAACATCACAAACATCATATTCACCTGAGTACATAACACCAACACACACAAATAGCAACATATTTTGTTGTAAAACTATTTCAAGTAGTATCTCCGTTGTAGAATTAAGGTGAAGTTAATTTCTTTTGTCTGAAAATACTATATGTAGTGCAAAAAATTCAAATTGGAAGTTCAATTATTTGAACTTCATCATAGGAAGTTGAATTATTTGAACTGCCTATGATTTTTTACTTTCCCCAAACAATCACTTGTGTATTCAACAATTCGCCTAAGGCTCGGTGAATAACGGTGAATAATAACCTCGACTTCGTCTTGGTAATTATTTACCGATATTCATCTTTCCTTCGGCGAATAACTGTTAATTATTATTTTATTGGTCATTCCTATTGTCTTTTGTTTTACCCAGGCTTCGATAATAGTTGGTAAGAAAGAAACAGCTGCAGAAGAACTGAGAGAGGTCATGGATGAGGTACTGTACGCTGTCTCTTTCGTGTTTTCATAGTTTTTGTTTTTTTACTTTTAGCAAGTAAAGATACTTTTGTACTTTAATCCCTCGCCCGCAGGCTGCGAAGCTACTTGCAAGGGCGAGGGTGGTCATTTCTGCATGGTAGGGGCATTAATACCATCCATGCGATTACATCATTGCATTGAGCGACCTCGGGTACCAAGGGTTTACTCCACCGTCAACAAAACAAAATGTCGTATTTAAAGTATGAAAGTATTTAGTAATTGGACAAAAAAAATCAATTTAAAAAAAGTTATGATTGCTGCCCTCCCCGAAGTGCTGGAAAACATAAAGCGTGTTTTTACAGGTAAACTACGTGAAGCGTTCTTCAATGAGTTTATCACTCATTTGGAATTTCCCTAATTACCTTTGCATATTTGAAAAACCTCTTTCTAATTCCTTTGATAGAATTTGCATTGTTCCTAAACTAATTAAATGTACCTCACTTCCTGTTCAAAGTTCCTAACTACTTGTTCTGTTCTCCGCATTGTGATTGGTCTACAAAAACAATCTACCAATCACAATGCGGAGAACAGAACAGGAAGTTATGACTTTTGAACTGGAAGTTAGGAACATTTAATTAGCTTAGGAACATTGCAAATTCCCTCCAGGGATTTACTAAGAGGTTTTTCAAATATGGAAAGGGAAATTCCAAATGAGTTATGAACTCAAAAGAGGGACGCTTTACGTAGTTTACCTGTAAAGGCTGATTTCCACTGTTGCGTTTTTCGTACGCACGTACACGCACGTAAAACTTTGAATCCTTCTATTTTTTAAATATTTTACAAATAAGTTAACAAATGCATACTAAAACTTGCGGAAAATTAAATTATGTTGCTTTATTTATTTGGTTATTTCACAAGTAACATTTAAACGGATTTAAAGTTTTACGTGCGTATACGTACGTATGAAAAACGCAACAGTGGAAATCAGCCTTAAGACACTATATAATCACTATGCTGATGGCAATGCACAAACGTATAGTCAGGACTTCGATTTGTTATTTCATAATTTGATTGATTCGATTGGATTAAAATATAATATATGAAATCAATTGCTCACAAATTTCAATACGTATATGCTGTCATGTAATCACATAATATCACGAATTTTCCTATACCTATACCTAGTTAAGTACCAAGGAAGGCGAGCTACAGAGCAAACGCGAAGCACTACAGCAAAGTGAAGGGTCAGAAGTCATTAAAGGAGACGAGGTACAGTTAATGTTATCTATCAGCCTCCTAAGGGTTGTTGAGGCTATAGCGTGGTTAAATAAAGTTTGTATGTATGTATGTATGTATGTATGTATGTATGTATGTATGTATGTATGTATGTATGTATGTATGTATGTATGTATTCACGTCTTAATTACTCATTGTTAAACTATGCTTTATTACAAGTTCTTTAGGTACTATTTAAGACACAAGCAGAAGTGCTTTATCAGATACAGTATATAAGACACGAGTGCGCAGCAGGAATGTTTTATATCTGATAAAGCACGAACTGCGATGAACCATTTTACGAGAGAATCATATGAGAGAACCATCTTACGAGTTCACTGGCGAAGTAAATTAAAAAATAAACATTGTCTAAGTCGAGAAAATCAAAGCTAAAGTTTATGTAAATGAACATGATTTTTATCACATATTAAACCACCGACACGGCAGTGATTTTCGTTGTCTTTTCCTCATGAATTATTAATTAAAAACCTCTCGAGTTTTTTAACAGATAGAAAATATTGTATTTCTACCAATGTTGTATATGTTAAAATCATCGTTACTCTGCATAGAAATATGATTTGTCTTGGCACTAATATAGTGATCTAGGGACTGCAAATTAAAGGAGCTCTGCAAATTAATAATATCGAGGTGTTTTTCTTAAAAACAAATTGAATAATTACTTTTCTTTTATATTTACAGTTCAAAAGATATGTTAACAAGTTGCGAAGTAAGAGTACTGTGTACAAGAAGAAGCGTCAGGAGGTGAGTTAAAAACGAGATTACCTGCTACCCCAGCCCATTAACTATACTGTTCTAAGTGGCGTTGTAGAAAATAGAAGCAGAAAAAAGAAGAAAGGAAAGGGTAATGGCAGTGTAAAGTGAAGTGGATGAATTAAACGAAAATAAAAAGGGGAGAAAATAAAATTGTGATTTATTGGAGTCGCTGTTTATTACCACACTGGAGAGCTTTAGATTTTACTATACGACTATAGAAGATTCGTTGGTTGCACATGTTCGCCATCTTCTTACGCCAACGTACGCACGCCATATTCTCGTAGTAGACGCTTGTTTTACTAAGAGACTTTTCAAAAATCCCGTTGTCAATTTAGCCACGGCTACGAGATGCATGCATAAGGCGTCAGTATATGATTGGCATAAAAAGATAGCGTAAGAATATGGTTATATTCAAATAATCTCGTAGTCCACAATTAGTAAATAATACTAATTAATTCCTTTTTTGCAAAATGCCACGTTCTGGTTTTTGAACATAAAAATTCTAACATTAATACCGCAAATATATATATATCTTATTGGCAGATGCAATATTGGGTTAAAGTCAGTATAGGATTAGAATGCAGTTAAATGGTTTCTAATTTCATTTATTTTAGTTAACTGAACTGCGGGCGGAGTATGGTGTTCTCTCACGTTCAGAGGAAATTTTAAAAGGCCGCGAAGGACAACTTAACGAGAATTTGGTAAGTCCTCATTTCATGCTGGTTTGTATCAAACCAGGAAATACTAAAATTAAGTACTATTTAAAAGACGAGCAGGCAGGGGCGGAGCGAAAACTATCCTTTTCGGGCGGTGCAAGACAACTTTTTGCTGACAAAAGGGCGTGGCTAGCGAGCGGTTAGGGCGTGGTCAAATCGAACCGTATTCATTTTTAAGTGATGTACAACGATTAACTCCGAGTAGTAAGATAATTTATTTTAATTTATTTTTTAAATAGGCGAAATAGTTCCGAAAAAAATCGAAAAAGCACATCCATTCGTCATCAAACGACCGATTGCAAACTAAACACGTCAGTTTCTCTCTCTTCCGTTTGCGTTTTTGCTTGCTACTGTCCACACTTTTAAATCGTCTCCGTATTTCTCATTGTATAAAAGACCGTTAGGTGTAATTTCTAAGACCTTTACTGGCTTTACAAGATTATGAAATGAAGTGCAGACGCATCAACAGTCAACAGTCAACACGCACATGTTCTTCGAATTTCCTAGCTATGGTATACTTCACAAAATTGCAAGAAAATATACTACTATTAAATAGCGTATTTGCGTAATAAGTTCTTGGCCAATTTAGCTGAATGTTCGGGCCGAGCTTTCAGTCGACATTCCATCTTTTCGATCTCGCATTTTCTACAAATTTTCTACAATCTCTCTCCAATCAGGTATTGCCTATTGGCTTGATCCAATTTATTTTGCCGACAACTGATTTATTGTGCCGACGGACACGGCATTGGGGGGTGCGGCACCCCCCGCACCCCCCCTTAGCTACGCCCCTGTGCTTATGAGTAATACTGGTCTTTAAGGTATGTATATGACTATGGGCATGGGCATACTGATTTTAGGTATGGTCATGAGCATACTGGTATTAGGTATGTATATGAGTGTGCTCATGAGCATACTGGTTTTAGATATGTATATGAGCATGCTCATGAGCTAGCATGTTGGTTTTAGAAATTTACATACGACGGAAGTTTTATATTTGACTTACACAGGAAATTTTATTCTTGCATTTTGCTGCCAGGAAGAGAAATATACTTTTTAGGCCCGCGTAATTGAATCAGTTAAGCTAGGAGGCGAAATACTATTCTCATTTATACTTGATCAATCAAAAACAATGGGAATTATGACAGTCGGCTGGAGATAGCTTATCTGCTATCTATATGTGAGAGTTTTCTCAACTTTCATGGCTTCATCAAACAAGATTCATGCAGATAGGTTGAGAGGTTGTCAAGCCAGGGTTTTCTTAACTGATGTTCATTGCTTCATCAAACAAGAACAAGAGTTGTATGAGAGTTGGCAAGATAGTGCTTACGTCAAAGTTTCTCAACTTTTATTACTTTGATCAAATGAGAACTGTGTTCATGAGAATTCACTATTAAAGCATGAGTACCGGTACCCAGGGGTGAAGCCAGCCTGACAATTTGGTCATGCTATGCAAATTTCAAATCATTATTATTTATTTCTTTAGAAATGGATTGTTTTCATGGTGTATGAACACAGAAATATCCATCACCAAAAGCATCACCAAATTGTCGGGCTGGCTTCGCCACTGCCAGTACCTGGGGAGTTTTAAACCTTGTCCCCAGTTTATATTTCTCCATAAGAGTCCAGCATGCGCTTCGTGCTTAATTGGTCAAACAAGAACATGATCATGCACTGTAAAAAAGATTGGTTAAATCAGCCAATAAACTGATTATCTCAGATTCATGAGTCTGCATGAGACAATCAATTTGTAGGCTTGTAATTGTATTTGTTTTTACAGTGTGCGCAATTCAACAAAACAAAACATTTTTCCGTTGATGGCTTTTTCCATGAATACATACTTAGTTTATAATGTGAAACTATGAAAGGTGTGTTTAAATTGGGTTTGGTAATTGATGGATAATCCAAGCTTATGTACTGTTTAATAGACGAGCAGGAGTGTTTTATTAGGTTTAAAGCCACCAGCGCGCATCGCGAGTGGCTTTAGTTAGACCTAATGCTAATAAAACACGACCTGCGAGTTTATTAAACGGCTTCAAACACGACTACAAATTCAATAGAAATACTGTCCTATTAGTATTCTTTATATAAAGAATACTAATGAGGACACGACTACAATACTGAGATACTGCCTTATTAGTATTCTTTATATAAAGAATACTAATTAATAGGATTTAGGAGTGTTTTATCAGGTTTAAAGCCACTGCACGTGACATATGGCTGACATGATTTGCCAGTGAGCTTATGAATTATTAATGAGTGTTTGAAACACAATTTAAAGCCTTTTTGCAAGCATTCCTGGTTTGGTCTTAAATTGTGTATACAGCTATTTCAATTAAGGTTGTCCCCGAGCAGAGCGGAAAAGTCGAATACGATCGCGAAAGGCTGCTGGGAATCGCTAATAAATTCATTCATTCATTAACGATTCCCAGCAGCTTTTCGCGCTCGTATTCGACTTTTCCGCTTTGCTCGGGGGACAACCTTAATTGAAATAGCTGTATATATGCCCAGTATTCTAGTTTATAATTATATCATTGCTATAGCTGACAAGCAAATTTCGTGCTTGAGCAATGCGTAACGAAGCGCGGTTTGCTTTAGCCTGCGCGCAGACTATATAATGACATTATATAGGGCCAATGAAAATTGATATCATGTTTCTCGTCCACAATTTTCAAAAATTTGGAGCGGGATTTTTTCATTATTTTTTGTATTTGAATTCTGCTTGTCAATAATTTCCTTGACCCAGTAAAAAAACCCCATAAAAATCTGAAGTATTAAAAATTGGTGCATAATTCATTTTAATTTAATACGTCCTACACTACAGTCTACAGACTATACAGTATATTTCTTTACATACCAGGGCTGACATGAAAAATAGAGGCATTCTGGCGAGTAATATCTTTAGAAAGATAGAATTTGAGTTGCGCTTGCGGAATACAGCAATAAGACTTTGATCTGGAGATGAATTTGGTGTTTTTTAAGCCTATTTTTCAAAAATAATGAATAATGAAAAATTTTCGTGCGGCACATAAATCCCATGCGGGCGGGGACGAGAAA